AATTTTTTGAGGCATGTATTTTAAGTTGAAATCTAAAAGAGCCAAAACCCACTTTCCAATTTTGCCTCTGAGCATCGATTGTTTTTCATCTTCTGGTGATGTCTGACTTGATGCCCCACTTTTGTCTTTCGGGATCCATACTGATTTCATTCTCACTAGGAGCAGCTAAACTAGATCTACTATGCCCCTTGAGTTCGCCATCTATTATTAGCACCTCTCTTCTATCCTTTTGCATTGTAAGTGCCACCTTAAAGTTTTGGGATTCTGAGCCTTATCGAACTTTGGATGAGCCACCTACTCCCGTTTCTAATTAAGAGATCTGAGGTAGTGGTTTCACCATCCTAGGTCATTCTACATAGCCAGATTTCATAATACTTTGACTTGGACCAGTTTTCTATTACTTCGAATCATGCCCTCCGAATCTTTTCCTTCGTGGAAGGTTTGATCTAGCATGAGTTTTGCAAGTGCTAGCTTTTTTAATGACCTATCTCAAGTCATCAACTGCCTGTTTGTGCCTAGAATATGATCAATTCCTGTTCTTGATAAAGCTCCGAAGATCTACCACGTTCACTTTAACGAACAAGTTAGGGAATAAGTCTACATCAACTGCCATTATTTCCTTAGCCTTTTCTAGAAACCGCAGAATCCCTTTGTCAATCTTTTCTTGCAAAACGTTTCAAAAAATAACACGATTGTTAGTAAAATGTTTCCAAAAATTATGATACTTATAGTATGCTCTACTTCCTATTTCACCAACCATTGGGATTTTATGCCCCAATGGCAACTTAATTAGACCACACTTTGTAAAAATCGCAGAATCCCTTTGTCAATCTTTTCTTGCAAAACATTTCAAAAAATAACACAATTGTTAGTAAAATGTTTCCAAGAATTATGATACTTATAGTATGCTCTACTTCCTATTTCACCAGCCATTGGGATTTTATGCCCCAATAGCAACTTAATTAGACCACACTTTCTAAGTTGGTCAAAAAATTTCACTAGTCTTAGACAAATCAAATGTGTATTACTTTCCGGCCTTGCCAACAAAACATTTCACTATCTTGTCGGCCTGTTGGGTGACAGTTTATCTACCACAACTTCTACCACATTCACATCAAAGTTGGCATCCCTATAATAAGTCCCATGGGATGCAAATTTCCTCTATAAATCTTCCTGTAACAGATTTTCATAGCGGACAACTTTGTAAGAAAACTCAACACTCCATACAAACTATCTCCCCACTTCACTCATTGGCTATTACAGAATATGGATAACTCCTCAACTACACTTCCTCCTAAACTCTAGGAATTTCTATTTTTCTCAATGAAAATTATAGCAAATAACATCACCATTCTCTAAAATCAATTTTACAGAGCAAATGATTTAAATCTCAACCAACAAATCTGACATGGCCACACCTTATCCATTAACACATGTCATCAATAAAAAATGTAATTTATGGTGTAAACGATGCAAATTAAGTTTTTTCAATATTAATACCACATGAAACAATTTAATTTTATGGTTGATAAGACTTAAATAAACTTTTTTTCATCCAAATTAATTGTAAAGGGATATAATAAATACTATTAACTTATTCTTTAACACACAAGTTAGAAAATCTCTTCTTTTCAAACCCCTTTGTTCTACTCCCTGGAGTCCTCCACAACACTGGCTTCTCTTTATATTGTGTCTATCTCCTCTATGGAAATTGATGATGCAAGAGAAATGACTATTGTTGGATTTGGCAATTGGCTGCTATTGTTTTGATAGAAAATATGAGCAAAAGGGATATGCATTGTTTCTTGAGAATTAGAATAGGTGCAGGGTGAACCGGGCCTTTAGGCCCAATGGTTCAACCCCAAGCCTTAAGTGCTTGAGTGAGGTGGTTGGAGTTTCGAGCTCTACCACCGTCATGAACTCCACCAAAAAGTGACCTGATGGCCGTGCGCCTCATTTGAGGGGTGGAATGTTCACCTGATCTAGGGATGGAATCCCTAGTTGCTAACAACTAATTCAAACTAACTTCCTAACCAT